CCCATGGGAAACATCTCCGTGCCCAAGGCCCTCCCATGCTTCCCGGGCTGATCACATGCGAGAGGATCGCGAGGGTCCCCGGCAAGGTCGCTGCGCTGCTAAGGGGAGAGAGTGAGCGAGGGAGAATCGGGGGCGGATTGTTGCTGAGCCAGGTAAGTAAGCGAGGTACGGGAAAAGCAAACATATCGAAAGAGCGCCAATCCCGAATCGAATTAGGCCCAACATACACGAGAGCCGACGGAATCGACCGTGTGCTCGGCCGGTAAGCAGGTTCGCTCTCAGACCCCGGATGTCACACCGGCGCTCACCATGTTAGCTTCCCCCCCACGAGAACGAGGGAGGGGGGCGGGCGGGCGCTCCCCAGAGAGAGAGAGAGAGAGAGTCAAAAGGAAGCATGCATCAGATTGGAATGAAAGACGAGCGCACAGCCAGCGTTGAGCTGTCAACGCGGGAAGTAGATGATGGTGTATGTCGATCCAAAGCAAGCTAGCAGGCCTCTCTCCGCGGCCCACCGTCCCGTCTGTCAAAAAGGACGGAACTAATGAACCAGACGCCCGCAACCAGGTACGTTCGTCGTTGATCGTATGATACTCGGCTTAGCCATTGACGATCACCAACCAAACCATACCATTGTCCAAACTCTTCTGCACCCTCTTTCTCTCTCAAATATCATGTACCGGTAGTTCCCCCAGCCCGATCTGCCTCACCGCGCGCTAGGTAGGTGATGCGCGCGAGGGGGGGTCGTGTTAAGTAGCTTTCGTGTACCCGTGGTGTTCTTTTTGCTTTTGGATATAGGATGTGCATGTCATACCGGTAGCCCATTCGGCACTTCAAACAGCCAGGGCCCCCTTCCCCTTTGACGCGTGTCGATCCTTAAAGGTCCTCTTGCAAAGTCACGAGGTATGAGATCATGGTTTGACCAAGATACGATGGCGTGGGATGTATGTTTAACGCGGCGCCATGCAGAAAAGGGGAGGGAGGGGGGGGGGGGGGGGGGTCGTATCGAGGGACGATCCTGCTTACTAGAAGCTTACAACGACAACCAGAAAAGCAAATGTGCGTATTTTGTTCTAAATGTTTCGTTGCTCTACAAGGCCCGTTGTAATGTCTTGGGCCACAACAGAGTGCTGTCAGAACCGAGGAGACAACATGGCGTGGGGTCCTCTCGTGGCCATCTGGAATGTGATGGCGCCAGCGAAATCTATGTCTCGTGTCGCATAGCCGTTTCCTAGGCCCTTTGGCCAATGAGACAACCCCCTTACCACCCCCGGAATGTCTTGGACCTCTTGACATATACGTAGTATATGCTTTTGAGGGCGGCATCGTGCTTCGTACGCGGTGGGAAACGACTGCATGTCTCGGACATGATCTGTGTGTATATCGCCGCATAGAGTAAGTAACTCGTGAGCGGGACTGAGGCGTACAGAGATATCGTATTGCATGCCGTTCCACAGGCAGGTCTGCAAGATCGAGCAGGCGGGGGAGGGGGTGGCATCATATCATACACAGAGATGAGTGAGGCAAACGGCAGCACAACAAGAAGATGCTCAAAGAGGTGGATATTTGTCTCTCGTCCGTAATGATAAAACTACACCTGGAAACCGTGATGCAACTTGTACAAAGTAGTCCGTCCACAAAACAATCAATATACCCAACGCCGGTTAGACAACTTCTGCAATGTTGAAAATGACACCCCAGCCGAGTCCTGCAACACCATTCCGTCCCAATCCAACACCTTCTGGAAATCATCTTCATAAAGTGTGTGCAACTCGAGAGTCCCGTCGGATCATCACCGGGACCCAGGGTTGTTGTGAATCAACCACCCACAATTACCTCCATCCGAGTCGCCTTCAACTTTTTGTTTTTTAGGCGGTGCCGCCGGAACAAAGGAGAGGGGATGATAGCGAGAGGTTATGGCAACAACAAACATAAAGGAAAGAAAGAAAAAGAACAGAACAACACCCTATGAATGACTCTTGTGCATGCATGCTTTGGTATCTTCGCCACCCAAACGCTCGTGTTTATGCCGACAGAAAAAGAAATCATCTTAGACTCTGGCCATGGGCTTGCGTCGCACCAGGAACGGACTGGGCATCTCGTCCCGCTCGGGATCCCACACCGCGACCGGCTCGCCGCCACTGGCCCGACGCTCCGCCATGCGGTCCTTGAACGCCCTCTTGGGGCTGAGGTTCTCGCCGCCAGACATGACGGCGGAGAGCGGACGGCCGCCCGCCCGCGCCTGCTGGAGCTCGACGAGCGTTCTGCCCTTGATGTTGTTCTTGGCCGCAAGCTTGCCAAGGGGCTCTTGATCCTTCTTGGTGGAGTTCTTGCGGGAAAGACCGCCGGGCGACTCGCTGCCGCCGCTCGTGCTAGTCAAGTTGGCCGCCGAAGGAATCTTAGTCAATCGGCGGTGGGGCGACTGGTTCCGCTCGCGGAGACCACGGCCCAAGTCGGGGTTGGAAGCCATGCTGGGCAGAGTAGGCAGCGTCTTGTTCTGGTTCGGGCCGGTCGCCGAGAACTGAGGCTTGACCCGAGCTACCACCGGGACCGACTTCTGAGAGGACAGGACCGGGCGATCCTTGGAGGTGAAGGGGTTCTGCCTCGACTTGATGTTGCGAGTCGGCGAGGGGACAATGTCCTCGTCGTCCGAGTCGATGCTGATGTTATCGCGGAGGTCCCACATGGGATCGCTCGACGCGCCCGTGTCCTCAGAGAAGATGTTTCCGCTGTTAAGGTTCGGTACTCTGGTGGCGGCGGTGCGTCGAGGAGACAGCGATAGAGAAGCAATGTTGATGGGCGAAGGAGACGCCATCTCGATGTCCATGGGAGTGCCCATGCCGCCGACGAACATGGTCTGGGCTCGACCAAAGGGCGTGCGAGTGACCTTCTTGTTCGTGAGGGGACTGTCGGTAGAGACGTCGGTGAGGTCAGTCGAGGTCGAGAGCTCTTCATCGCCGCTGCCGTTGCCGACTGACGACCGCGGGTACTCGGACTTTGTCAGGGAGCTGCCAAGGTCTTGTGACTGAGCGGATTCCACGGCCCTCTTTTGCAGCTCCGCCTCGACGCGAGCCTGCACCTCACTCTCGAACCTCTTACGAAGGGCCTCGATTTCCGTGTTGATTTGTCGGTCGATCTCGAGACGGGCCTTGACCTCCCATTCCCTCCTTAACGAACTGTCGACTTCTTGTCGGACAGAGGCCTTGTCGGCCTCGAAGGCGGCCATCTTGTCCTCAAGCTCCTTGGTGCGACGCGCCAGAGACTCCTCCTTGGTCTTGACAACCTTGTTGAGCTCGACAACCTCCCTCTCCTTTCGCATCAGCCGGACGACGGGAAGGTTCAGGAGCTGGGCGGTGTCTGGGCGGTGGTCGGGGTTGACTCTCAGGCAGTCCTTGATGGTGCCCATCAGCTCGCTCGAATAGCAACTGGGCAGAGGCGACACCTTGCCCTCCTTGATTTTCTGGACGAGCTGGAAGTGCGACTTGGCGTTGAAGGGCGGCTCGCGAGCGCAGAGCTCATAGATGATGCATCCCAGAGACCAGATGTCGGACTTGAGGGTGTATTTCTCGGCGGCGCAGATCTCGGGCGACATGTAAAAGGGCGTGCCGACGTAGGTGGAGGCGAAGTCGTGAGACTGGATCATCTTGGACAGGCCAAAGTCGCCAAGCTTGACCGAGTTGTCTTCGCCCAGGAAGACTGACTTGTTATTAGCAAAACACGACGTCGGCTGGCGGGGCGGCGAAACGTACCATTTTCGGGCTTGAGGTCGCGATGCAGGATGGTCATGGTGCCGGGTGGCGGCTTGGGCTTGGAAGCGGTACTGAAGAGGCCGAGCACGTTGCTGCCGACCTCGGGGGGGTCGATGCCGTAGTGGCATCGGTAGAGGGCAGTAACCAGCTGCGAGAAGATGCTCCACACGAATGACTCTTGGGCGCGCTGGCCCTTGACCGCGAGATCTCTGATGACGCGACCCAGGTCGCCGTTGCCGCAGTACTCCATGTAGAGGTGGAGGTCCTGTGATGATTTGAGGTGCTCGCGGTGGTAGTAGCCGACGATGTTCTGATGGCGGAGGGTAGACAGGATCTGGAACTCGGCGTGGAGCTGCTCGCGCTCCTTTTGCGACATCTTGAGGTAGCTGATTTCCTTGCGGCACATGACGAGGCCGTCGACCCTTCTCCGAACCTTGCGGATCACTCCAAAGGATCCATGGCCTGTTTGATTGCATGCGTCAGTCGGGAATTTTCTGGAACGGATCGCATCACGGGGTTGAAAAGCTTGTGAATGGGGTGTGCATACCAATCTTCTCCAGCACCTCGTACTTATCCGCTTCTAAAGTCATGTTGGACTCAAAGCGCAATGAACTTGATTAGAGGGAATCTTTCTTTGTATCCATAGAAGTTGAAGGGTATTTGAGGCGGCGTTGTGAACCTGCTGTTGTTAGTATCGAAGCTTGTTGGTGGTGGTTGACTGGGAAAGTGCACAGCAAGTCGAAGCTGGTGAACGAAGGCTGGTTGCTGGTTGCACGGGCACTAACAGGATGGAGCTTCAGGTAAACAAGGGGGTGGATGCCATGGCAACGGCACTAGTGCCGGATCTGAGATATTCCTTTCCTGTGTCACTGTGACCCACTATCCCGGCCAGATCGGGACAGCTCTTATCGATAAGGATATCGAGGGGTTAATAAGTGGGGCGCCCGATGATGATGATGCAAAATGGGAAGGAGAGACCCGTCCTGTCACCTACCTAGCTGCCTAGGTGCTAGGTTCCTAGAAGGCAGGTCTCACGTGGTCCGTGCGGAGGCGGCGACTCGTTAGAACATGGAGATATCGGACTTGACGTGACCAGCGAATCAACCTAGTTCTCCTCCTTGATTGTGTGCGAATCTGGAGGCAATTTTCTGGGATATATCCTCTTCGTTGGTGCGTTTTCCCTCCTTGGTTTCGTTCTGCTGGGATATTGGCCGTAGGCATTGCTGGACTGTTCTTCCAGGTAACGCCTTCACAATGGTGCTTCGGAAAGACGAACTCGAAATACAGCTCAAAAACGAGAAAGAATTGATCAAAAATGGCGTCCTGAGAGAGGACAACCCCTTGGACCAATCGGTCGAGTTCGAGGCCTTCTTGCTGGCCTGCAGAAGGGGTGACTTGAAAACGTGTCAAGAACTCATCTCGGCGGGCGTGAACATCAACGGCAAGGACCGCTTCGACTACACCCCTCTGATTATTGTGAGTGCCACCCGGTGAGGAGGACATGGGCTGGCATGTTACTAATTGGGCGCCGCTGTCAAGGCAAGCCTCTGTGGTCACTTGGAGCTCGTAAAGCTGCTCCTGGATTCGGGCGAGTACCACCCCATGCTTCAATACGAGCGTCGCTGACGGGGGGATCCGGAATAGGTGCTCTGGCTGAGAGAAACACATTCCAAGGAGAGCGGTGCATATACAACGCCCTCAATGACAAGATACGGAATCTTCTCCTAGAGTACGACTACTCCAAATCCACGGACCCCTTGCAACCCTGGGCGGGACACATCACCAGCCTCCTCACAAAGCACGTCCCCAAGACGACCGACATTAGCATGATCGCGGCAGCGCAGTCCTTTGACCTGCACAAGTTCCTGCTGGCCGCACGGACGCCCTACTTTCGGAAGAAGTTGGCCGACGCCCCCGACACCACGACCTGGAGGCTGCCGCCCACCCTCCCGCTCGAGTCCTTCCAGGTCGCCCTGCGCTACCTCTACCTCGGCGAGGTCCCGAGGGACGTGCTCAACGCCCAGAGCACCGTGACAGAGGAGGAGGTCCTCACCGGCATCGACAAGCTGAGCAAGCACCTCGAGATCGACCAGCTCTGGGAGGCCATCCTCGCCGGCAACGACCGCCGGCTCGCGCGCCAGCGGTACGAGGACGAGGTGAAGCGCGCGCAGGGCCAGGTCGAGCGGTTCTACCGCGAAAAGGTCCTGGGTCACAAGATGGTCGTCGAGACGAAGCGGTTAGCCGACGTCAAGTGGCGGCACGACAACTCCATCTTCGCCGACTGCCTCCTATGCGCGCACGAGCCCGAGGGCGACGAGACGGACGACGACGCGGACGACGCGGACGACGTCGTCCACCTCAACGGCATCCCCCTCGGCCCCGCCGCCAACGGCGACAAGCCGAAGCGGAGGCCCAGGAAGTCGGTGGTGTACCCCGTGCACAAGGCGATGCTAATCCGTAGCCCGTACTTCGAGACCATGTTCTCCAGCGAGTTCAAGGAGGCGCAGGACTCGGAGCACCTCCACGTCGTCAGCTTGGACTGCGCGCCGGACGTCCTCGAGATCGTCCTCACCTTCCTCTACACCGAAAAGGTCGACTGCCCGCTGGACCTCGCCCTGGACCTGCTGTACACGGCCGACATCCTCTTCCTCGACAAGCTCAAGACCAAGGCGGCGCAAGCCATCAGCACCCTGGGCAGCGGTAACGCCAACGTGTGGGCGGACCGCACCCACGCCCCGGCAGACAAGGAGGGGGCAGGCCAGCCAGAGATGGAGCCCGTCAACATCTACGACGTGATCCACGCCGCCTGGGATCTGAGGGTGCAGCGTCTCGAGGAATTCGCCGCGCGGTACCTCGCCGACCGGCTGGAGGACTACATCGACGAGCCCGAGTTCGCCGAGCTCATCAAGGAGAGCGCCGAGAGGATCAGGGACCGCCAGGAGACGGACACGATCGAGCTGCTGGACGACATCCGGTACTATCTGGGCGAGCGCTTCCGCCTGCGCTTCGAGGACGCCAACCTGGACGAGATGATGGACGAGGAGGGCGAGATCGACGCCGCCGTTGCCGAGACTCTCGCCGCGCAGAGCGAGCGGCAGGTGGACGAAAAGGGCGAACCCGTTGCTGCTGCTGCCAACCCTCGGGAAGAGGCACCCGCCGTACCTTCTGCGGAGGACGGTGGGCAGGGTGACGGGGGCGTCAAGACGCTGGGCGGGGAGGTGGCCGAGGATGAGTTCGCGTCGGACGCGATCAACTACCAGATCCTGCTCGGAAAGATCGACACGGTGCTGGACCGCTTGAAACTGGACGCGTAGACGGTGTGCTAGATGCCCCTTGAGCTAGAAAAGACCACCGCCCAATGTTGGCGGGACTTATATTACAGTTCGCATGACGCAGGGCCGCTTTCAGCCTTGGGCCAGGGTTCGACTCCGTGTTCATCAGATGATACGTATGCGGGCGCCCCAAAAGCTATGTAAGAGGTATCCGAGTTTCGAACCCGGAAACAAGCGCTACAGTAAGGGCGAATTGGGTTGTCTGCAAGGAGTTCGCCCGGAACAACGAGGTCAGATATATAACAGTGGATTGGCTATGCTCAGATCCGTTCCTTGGTCTCAGCCATGGAATCAGCAACGCGAGCCCCTCGTACAGATGGCCACCAATACTAACAAACAATTGATGGTAATCTCGTCCAATTTTTTTTTTTTTCAATTTTGATTTTTATTTTCATTCTTCCGTCGCAAGGCGAGCAGCCAGCACCAAACCTGGCAGAGCCAAAAAAAAAAAAAACACCGTTCCTGAATCGCACGCTTCTACCCTCCCTAATCACTCTCACGGCTGCGCGACGACGTCGTCGAAGCTCTTGCCCACGAGCTTGAGGAACACGTCCTTGTACTTGTCGGCCGTGGCGCGGCACACGTCCTCGGGCAGCTCGACGCCCTCCTTGCCCTTGAGCCCGTGCTCAATGAGCCAGTTGCGGATGAACTGCTTGTCGAAGCTCTCCTGGTCGCGGCCGACGGCGTAGCCCTCGGCGGGCCAGTAGCGGCTGCTGTCGGGCGTCAGCACCTCGTCGACGAGCACGACGTCGCCCGTGGCCGGGTCGACGCCGAACTCGAACTTGGTGTCGGCGAGGATGATGCCGCGCTCGCGCGCGTAGTCGCGGGCCGCCGAGTACAGCGCCAGGGCGAGCTCCTCGACGCGCTTTGCGAGGGCCGCGTCGCCGACGATGCGCGCCGCCTCGTCCGGGTGGATGTTCTCGTCGTGCTCGCCCTGCTCGGCCTTGGTGCTGGGCGTGTACAGCGGCGTCTCGAAGGCCTGCGACTGCTGCATGCCCTCGGGCACCCGGATGCCGTGCACGGTGCCCTTGGCCTTGTACTCGCTCCAGGCGGAGCCGGTGATGTAGCCGCGGACTGGCCGGGGGAGGGTTGTCAGCCGAGGGGGGTTCCGTTGATAGATATAGGGGAAGGGTTGGGGTTGGGGGCGAGGGAGAGATGGCGATACTTACCGATGGCTTCCAGGGGGATGACCTTGAGCCGACGGACCTGCATGGAGCGGTTCTTGATGAGAGCGGCGTCGGCGGCGGGCAGGCCGGCCGGGGGGTCCAGAGTGAGGAAGTGGGTCTTGAGGCCGGGGACGCGGTCCGAGAGGACCTTGAACCAGTGGGCCTACGGTTCCCGGTACGGGCATTGCATTAGCACAAGAGTAGAATGAAATGAAAAAGGTCTAGAGAGAGAGATGGACCGGCGTTGCGTTTGAAGTACGGTGCTACCCGAGGGGGAGGTTTCCACTTACGGAAGCGTGGGTGAGGATGGCGCCCTTGTCGGGGATGCCGTTCTTCATGACGACGTCAAAGGCCGAGACGCGGTCGGAGGCGACGAAGAGGAGGGTCTTGTCGTCGACCTCGAAGACGTCGCGGACCTTGCCCTGGCCGATCTTCTTGAGGCCGGTGAGGTCAACGGAGGTGACGCTGGCGGCGGCCATTGTGGTTGTGCGTGTGTGTGTGTGTGTGTGAGTGTTGTGTGAGTGTGAGTACGGATATGAGTATGAGTGTGAGTGAGAGAGTGAGTGAAGTGGAGGGGTAAAGTCAACTGGTCTGTGTTTTTTTTCTTTTTCTTTTTCCTCTTTGGAGGGGTTCCGATGGAGGGGCAGACAGGGTTTCCAAAGTGAGAGTTTGGGAGAAGCTCGAAGGAAGAAGTGGCCCAAGACGGCGCTTGGAACAAATAAGTTCAATTGCAAAAGGGACAACACCCAATGGTATCTCTGGTGAATGATTCGAGAGCAAGGGTGAATCAATGGGAAGCCGAGTTCGGGGTGGAAAATGTGAATGCGAAAAGCCGCAAACTGGTTTGGCAACACGGGTGAAGAGCGCATAACGAAAATAAAAAATCAAATAAAAAAAACTTTCGGAAGGCTTCCGATGGATGCGGCCACTCCACCGGGTGCACGTCAACCAACCGGGCTCTTATCAACTCTACCACAACGACACGCGCACCGCCAACTCGGGACGACGATCTGCATCACGACTCGACCGGGGGAATATGTCATGGTCACAGCGGGACGAGGTCTACAGTCACATCAAACATACTAATGGCGAAAAAAAAAAAGGCTATTAGGATTATGTATTGCGTCTTTTCCTTTTGGCAGCAGTGTCTGGACAAGAAGATGCTTCCCCCCAAAACTCCGTTGGCAATGCGAATAAAAAACCCACTGGCAGAAACCAACGTCTCTGAAAGCGTGCCAAGTACCTATCCCAATGCAAGCCAAGGTAACGAAAAGTCATGGCGCTCAAACCGCCAGAAGCACCGCGCCCGCCACGGCGAACACAGACACGAAGGACGTGACGGAAAACCCGTCTGGCCCCCAGGACGTCGCGACGCCTCCTCGCGGCGCCGCGTTCGCGGACTCGCTCGCCGTCGGCGCCGCAGACTCGCCCGCGCCTGCCGTCGTCGTCGTCATGACCGGCGGCGACGTGGCAGCAGCGCCCCCGTCCGCCGTCCGCGCCGGGCCCGTGGTCGTCGGCAGCGCCGTCTCGTTGGCGCGGAGCTCGATGACGTAGGACCGGCTCGCGTTGAGTTTCGCCTCGGCGATGCCGACCTGCAGGTTGGCCTCGTCGTACACGACGTACGCGCTCCGCAGGAACGTGTCCCCGAGGAGGGCGAACCCGTCGCCCTCGACGCCAAAGGTCGCGCTGCTCTGGATCCCGAACAGGCACGCCCGGTCGAACGGCACGGGGCCGCCCCTGACGACGCCGCCGCCGAGGGTGTCGAGCACCATCTCCTCGAGCGGCACGCGGACCCGGACGCCCCCGCCGCCGGCGAACTCGAACTCGATGGCGTGGCCCTCGCCCTTGGGCCCCCTCCACGCGCAGTCGAGGACGCCGTACCCCCTGTCGAGGACGCCGTACTTGGCCCAGATGTCCTTGGCCAGCCGGTCAGGGAGCAGGCACACGGTCGCCCCGGAGTCGAGCACGGTCGAGGCGTTGAACGAGCCCCCCGCCGCCGCCATCTCCACCGCCTTTTGGCCGGGCGCCTCGATCGCGACGCCCGTCATGGACACGCTGTAGCTGGTGAACTTATCCGTGTGGTAGTCATTGACGAGCGGGAGCGTCGTGAGCTTGCCAATGTACTTTTCCGTGTCGACGCCCCCGAAAAGCACCATCCCCTCGGCCGAAGACAGGTCGTTCTGGAAGGGGTTTTACGGGTTAGCGAAGGGACGAGGATAAGAGAGGAGACGGGCTGTTGTCCGTACCAGCCAGATGCTGTAGGCTTTCCGGCCTATTTGGCCTTGCTTGACCATATTGTCGAGGATCGTGGGGTATCCGCGGTCCGACGTCGTGCCCTCGGTGAGTCCGAGGCCCAAGAGACCCGCGGCCCTGGTCGTCTGGACGGCCAGCCCCAGCTGCTGGTCCTTGATGGTTTTGCCGCCGAAGCTCACGACGTCCTGGATGTAGTCCCCCCGGATACGCTTGCCGTCGAGGTAGGCGACGTCAAAGTCGTTGGCCCTGACGAGCTTGAAGGTGGAGCTCATGCTCGAGTTGAAGGTCTCGGTGCACCCCGTCCCGTACTGGCGCTGCAGGGAACCGCTCGAGCACAGGTCGGCCTGGCTGTCGAGGATCCACGTGTCGCTGCTGCCCGTATCGATCTGCAGCATGGCCTTCTGGCCCGGCGTGCCGACCTGGACCGTCGAGTAGTACCCGGCGCCGGTGATGTTGTTGATGGCCGTGAGGTTGAGGGTGTCGCGGCGCGTCATCTGCACTAGGTCGGGCGGGAACTGGATTCGGTGGAAGCTGGCCGAGACAACCTTTTGCGAGGCGCCCTCGTGCGTCACGGCCAAGAGGGCTAAAACCCTGGATAGCCTCATCCTAGGTTAGGCAACTAGGTAGGCAGACAGCAGCCGATCGATGCCTCTCTCTCTTTCGTGGTTGTTCTGGCCGGCCAGTCCCTGTACCCTGTTGCTGCCCCGTCCCCCCCAGAGGAAGCTCACGATGCGAAGACTCGGGAACACGCGGGTGCGAGACCTCTCTGGCTCTGGTAACGATTACTATATAATTTGCAGCAGTACATGAACCGCGGAAACTCGACAACAACGACGACGAGGAAGAAGAAGGACGAAGAAAGCGAGAGCCTACTCCCGCCCAGAAACGAATGTTGGGACCGCACTTCCTTTTCTGCCCTCACAGGACAGGCCTCCGGGAGAGCTCGCAACCATCTCAGCCGGAAGTATGGGTCAGCGTACGTCGTCCCGTCTCGGGGATTAAATTTGGACCGTTGAAGCTAGCCTGCAGGAAATGGCTACTCCGCATGGGAGAGTGTGTCACCTCTTTGCTGAGACTGAGGACAAAACTTCCATCACGTCCAGCACGCGCCAGGCGAGCGGCGATGATCTACCAATGTCTCTCTTCGCTCATCTACGGATGCTGAGCCGGGGGCGGGGCACTCGGTGCCGTTCCAAGCAAAGGGAACACAAGGCATTTCGAATCTTGGCTCACTAAATTCATGTGGCGTTGCTTGTGTTTGTTTACCGGGAGTGATGGGTGAGTTGATAGGGGAAGGAGAGGAGAGAGAAGAAGAAGAATGGAGGTTTTGGGGGAACGAAGGGGCAAACAGTTTGTCCACAATGGAGGTGGCTTTTCTCGGCGCTGCCAAGAGTTGCTCAGCATGTACAGGTGTATATAAACATGCGAGACTTCCAATGCCTCGCGCCGGATCGACCACAGGTAGGCGTTGCTTGCATTCTCAACGCGGCGTGCCGGTGACACGGCGGGAATATTTGGATGCAGGCCTGGCAGCAAAGCAATCTTCGCGCGGAACCTAGCGTATGCGATGGAATGCCACGGGGATGCCGGGCTTGGCTTCCGGCCACTCAGATCGGGCCTGCTCCATCCCGACCGACGCTGGAAAGCGCCGCACGACTTGGACGCGCAACCGAGACTTGACCAGGCCAAACAGCATTCGCAGCATGCCCCCCCGCCCCTCTTCTCTTCTCGAGTCAAGGAGCTTCCTAAACACCGGAACCCGGCATGCGCTCAATTTCTCTACATTCCGCCGATGGCACCGCTCGTAAACAAGTCGTCACTGGTAGCCTGCCAAAGGGTGTATTCGGATATTGGCTGAAGTCGGCAATGCTGGGGGCGGTCTCTCTTGGGTATGATGCATGGTTGAAGGTTGGTTGTTGACAAGCAAAGGAGTGGATGACGGAACCATTTGGATTTTCCGTTTCTAAACGAGAGGCGCGGAATCATGGAATCATGGCTGCATCTGGTCCCCCGGCCTCTTTCTCCGCGTCGGACACCTTCTGCCCCGCGATGCCGTCTCGGTTCGCCCTCCACACGCCCTCTTCGCCGTGGAACTCCTCCCGCTTCCACACCTCGACCTTGGCCTTGCACTCCTCCAGGGCCTCCTCGCCCGCCCTCCAGGCCGCCTGCCTGTGCGGCGACGACACGGCGATCAGGATGCTCTCCTCGCCGATGGGCACGGTGCCGAGGCGGTGGACCATGGCGGCACCCTTGAGGCCGTGCCTCTCGAGGACGCCCTTGGCGATGGACAGCATGGTGCGCAGGGCCAGAGGGGTGTAGGCGCTGTACTGCAGCTCCTTGACGGGCTTGTCGCCGAAGCTGTCGCGCGTGGTGCCGGAGAAGAGGACGATGGCCCCGGCCTGGGGCGAGCGGACTCGGTTCATGACGGATGCGGCGTCGAGGACGTCGTAGGTGAGGGCGACGTAGCAGGAGCCCTCCGAGGCCTCCCACGGCCCTCGATCTTGCGATTCCATTGCGTGGGTTGACCTGGATGTTGGCTTCCTTCGGCTATGGTTTCGGGCTATACGGGATGGAATAATAGACGATGCTGAGGTTAGGTAGGTAGGTTGGTAGGTAGGTGTGTCTTCCTTCCCCGTGAACAGTGACTTGACGATTCCGTCACCTGGTTCGACCGACAATGGAAGGTCCGCTGCTGCCCGCTAAGAGCGGAACTGCGGGGTTTGACGTCTTTTCTTGATGGGAGGCGACGGAACGCGTTTCTGACAGGTATAACGATGACAAACTCTTGTTTACCGTTGAAATATGCTTTACCAAGTAGTGTAGGTACCTAAACCAGTTAACTCATCATCAAACTGTCCCGGCTACCTTGACTTCACCCAGCTGGTCGTTACTAAGTCCATCCCTTCCTCCACTGGCTGGCCTCTATTACATAGAGGTGCTCAGAGCGATATGTACTTTGTGCCCAGATATGGCAGAGAGGTACATACACCTACAATCCTTAGGTAATGCAGCCACCAGCCATGTGTTATCGAGAACCCTGTCCGAGACCCCGCATGACTAAGCCACACAGACAGATAAGGTAAGGTAAGGCTGTACGGATACGGATATGTGCAATGTGCGTGCATATCCGTACAGTCCACAGGGCGGACGGCATGAGGTTTGACCTTCGGCCAGCCCAGCAAACATTAATTAGATCCGTCGTATCGTATCGTCCCTTCTTCAACCTCTCCCCTCCGACACACCGAGGCGGCTCGGCATTCCTGTTCCGCCAATAAATTCACCGCCAAGTTGAAGCAACAAAAGAAAAAAAAAGAAAAAAAAGGCACACGGTCTGGCTGCTTGCCTCGGATCCAAGGGGGCTCAGCGCCGCGTGCCGCCTTGACTCGACTCGACTCGCCTCGTTTCTTCTTCCTTTTGTTTCCCGCCGAAACCGCCCAAAAAAAAACTCTATAGAGACGGTCGCATTTCACTCGAAATTCGTGTACCTACCCGCATTGCAACATCACCCCGCCTTCCTGCGACCTGCAATCATGTACGAGGGCACCCATCGTTCGACTGAGAGGGGACCTTACGATCGGCAAAGATCCCCTCTGCGAGATCATAACCACCACCACAACGACGGCCATCGGACGCGGCAGGGTAAAGAGACTAAGCTGAGCCTGCGGGGGACATGACCATCTGCAGAACGTCTGGCTGGTTTGAGCTTCCGCTAACTTCCCCACGGGACGACGAGACGCATCTAGGTCTCCCCCCAGAAACAACCTCGAGCTGTCCTACGACGACGACAACTACGCCGCCGAGGACGCCCGCCACCGCGACCCCGATCCATCTCGGGATCGCCACTGGGACCGTGACACCGCAGAGTACCGCGCCAGAGACTACGACCGCTACTATCATGGACCGACGTCCGAGGCCTACCAGTCACGTCCTGGATCGAGAGATCAAGGCGGTCCTGGGCATGACCATGTGGATCGCCGTCATGAAGACCCTTCGCTACTTGACCCACATGACGGCCACGACCGCGGACCACGTCGTCACGATCGAGGTGGCCGGGGCTACCCTCGCTCTCACTACGACAATGGCCCTCGCCGCCATGATGCCCGATATGGTTCTGACGAGGATTTTCGTCATCTTTCCACCTCTCCAGGTGGCAGCCCAGGTCGTTATCCTCGTCGCGATCGTTCTGCATCGCCTCTTCGACAAGCTGGTGCTCCCAGTGATACTGTGATCCTCGAGGGCCTACCTTCCGGCCTGTCTTTGGACGACGTCAGAGAATGCCTTCTCGGACAGGCTTATCTTTCCCGATATCCAGCCGTCGACATTCGTCTTCCTTCTGGACGAGGTAAGCACTTCCCGCCCGAAATCCCCTCCGCAGCCGCTTATGACCCTCCCTCCCATCACAGGCCAACGCCGTGCTTTCGTCCAGTTCGACAGCGTCGAAAACGCCATCGACTTCGTCAAAGACAACTACCCCAAGCTGGTGCTTGACTTTGCTGGTTTGGTCGACGGCGACGCCGATGGAATGACCTCCATCTACATCCATTACGCCAGGAACCGCGACGACGCCGAGCGGGACAGTCGTGCCGGCCTAGCACCCAACTGGAACTGTCCCACGTGCGACTTTTCAAATTACGCATCGAGAAACCGCTGCAAAAACTGCGGTGGCCCGCCTACAGGTATGCTGTCTGCGCCTTGGTCATTGCACGCATGCTTGCTGGGGAAACTTGTGCTAACCTTGGTAGATCCATCGCAATACCGGCATTTGCTGACTGGCGAAAGCGATGCGGCCGACACCCCGTCGCAGATCCTGGTCTTCTTCCCCTTGGCACCGTCGGTCAACGAGGATGTCTTCTCAGCGGGCGCCGCGAAGCTTCAACTAGTGCAGAGGCCCGCAGCCTCGAAGGGCTCTGGCGACCAGCCAAAGCTCAAGTCTACTGCGCCTACCGGTGACGCATCTGGATATGGTGCCAGGCCAGGCTCGCTGCATCGCACCTTCCTGATGCGAGACCAGGATACGAACGAGTCCTTCAACTTTGGCTTCGCCGAATTCTGGACCGTCGAGGATGCTTTGGCAGCGATGAAAAAGTTCAACATGATGCGCGAATTCACCATTGCCTCGGAACCCGTGACGGTCTCCACCATCCATCTCGGCGTCTTTGTGCCAGAACTCCGCGAGGTCACTCGTGCCATTGAGCGCGTCTCGTTCAACCCCTTGTTCAATCCGACCCTCCGCGTCAAGTACTGGGAGCCGCACGTGTACCCCAGCGAAAGAGTCATCACCGAGGCCCCTCCCGGCGGCACCGCTGCCGATGGAAACAAGACTGATGCGAATGAAGAGTCCAAGAAAAACAAGAAACGCAAGGCGGATGGAAGCCTGGCCTCCTCATCAACCAAGAAGTCTGTCCCGATGGCTGGCCAAATAGCGTTCTGGCAGAGGCGGCATGACGAAATCCACGAGGGCAAGCGGCCTGCGGACGCTGCCGCCGAGAACGACAACGGCGCCGACCCGCGACGGTCCGAAGAGCGCGCGCCTGTCAAGATCTCGCTGTCCGGTTCAAACGCGATTTCAACCGGCCCGATCAAAATCTCGCTGACGGGAGCGAGCCTGTCAAAGTCCCCGGCACTGACGCCCACGCCACCTAGCGAGGCTGCGCTGGAATCCGGAGGCCCGACATCCGTGCCCGCAGCGACGGCCGACAGCGGAACCCCAGATCCGACATCGACGGCGGAGGCAGCGGTGTCGTACGTCGACCGCGAGAAGATCTGCTGCCTGATCTGCATGATGAAATACAAGACCTTGGACGACCTCAACACGCATGAGAAATCGAGGAACCACAAGAACGCCATGGCGGACGACGACAAGGTCAAGGCCGCCAAGCCGCGCCTGGCTGCCCGAGACAAGAGGATGGCGGCGAAGCAGGCGGACGAGCAGCCCAAGGGGGGCGAGGAATCGGGACCCCAGTACCGAGACCGGGCCAAGGAGCGCAGGGAGGTCTTTAACCAGCCGGCGAAGCCCAAGGTCCCGCCGCATAGCGGCAAGCCCTCAGCAGCAGGAGCAGGAGCAGGAGCAGGAGCAACAGCCACCAAGAAGAAGGCGACGACGGCGGCGGCGGCGGCAGCGGCCGCCCCGCCGCCACCGCCGCAGTCCAAGGGCGCGGGTATGCTGGCCAAGATGGGCTGGAGCGCGGGCCAGGGCCTCGGCGCCAAGGGCGACGGGCGCACCGAGGTGATCGCGACGCACGCGTACCAGGAGGGCGTTGGACTCGGCGCCGAGGGCGGCAACCTGGGCGACGCGGCGGAGCTTGCGCAGCGCAAGACGACCAACAGCTACGCCGAGTACGTCAACACGGTGCAGGACAGGGCCAGGGAGCGGTACAACAAGCTGGGCTGAGTGGGTGGGGTGGGTGGTGGTAAAAGAACGTTGTCGGGAGATGGGGTAGACTTTCTCTTTTTTCCCCTATCACGACTTCTTTTCTATCAAAGCACATGGCAGGCAGGCTGGCAGAGAGCGAATGCCCAATGGCCAAGTGATGCAAGGCAGAAAAATATTGTTGCACCTCGCAACGCCGTGTGGCGGCGATAATGCACAATAAGATGCCCCATTTTTTTTCTTTTTGCAAACACCAACACCAACAACGAAAATAGAATAAAATGAAATATCCGGCTTTGCTTTGCTGTGCTGTGCTATGCTGTGCTATGCTGTGTAATGTGCTTCCAAACATTGTAACTGCATTGGAACTACGTGAACAAATAGTCCGTCCCCCCGCCCCCCATCTCAACCGGATGTTCAAGGTCACACAAGGGTTGGGCACGTTAACCAACTTTGCTTGCTTGCTTGCTTGCCTGCTTGCCACCCCCCTTCAGAAATCCACAATCTTGAGCCGGCTCTGCACGTCCTCGGGGAGCTCCTCCTTGCGTACGAGGCCCATGATGACGCAGTCGCCGAGGAAGAAGAATGCGCGGTCCTGGGCGTAGCTCAGGTAGTCGTACTCGTCGCCCTCATCCTCGGCGTCTGCGGCCGCCTGCACCTCGGCCTTCGCCTCCGGGTCGCCGGCGGCGGCGGCGGCCTCGCTCTTGGCCTGCTTCTCCTGCTGCTCAATCTCCTCCGGGGACTCGAACCCGGGCACCTTGGCCTGGATGATGCCCCAGGCGACCCACTGAGCGCTGTTGATACCGCGCCACAGACGCGTCTCCTCGTACAGTTCCTTGACCTCGGCCTCGATCGCCTCCTCGGCGCGGCGCTCCTCCTCCTTCCAGTGGTTCGGCGGCACGCGGGCGTCGAGCATGAACTCGACGATGGAGCTCGAGGAGCTGGTCGGCAGGAGGGCCGGGGTGGTGCTGCCGACGGGGACGTCGGCGGCGGCGAGGCGCGGGGTGGAGGCGCCACCGTGGGAGAACTGCGGGCGGTGCTCGACGTAGGCCTTGAGGAAGCGGCGCTGCTCCTGGATGGTCGGGTAGCGGACCGTGTTGCAGCGGAAGGGCAGCGTCTCGTGATGGTAGTCGTAGGCCCACTCGGTGAAGTGGTTGGCGAACTCCAGGCCGGGGACGTTGGCGGCCGCGTACTCGAAGTCGATGACGACAAGCTGCTTGTGCTCGTTGGCGGGCTGCAGCAGGGGCGACTTCTCGTCGTCGGGGCGCATGCGCAGGATGTTGCCGTATTGGGTCTGGAGGGAAGTCAGTCACTTCTGTTGTACATTTCAGGCGAGGATGGGGAAGGACATGGGGGTTGTTGCTGGACTTACGTCGTTGTGGGCAAAGACGAGACGCTCGCGGACCTCCTGGGGGCCCTTGTAGGCGTTGATGACTAGCTCGCGGTACTTGTCGTACAGTTCCTTGAACTGCTGCCACTCGACGCCGCAGACGTAGCCGGAGCCTCGGAACACGCTGTTGCCCCTCCGGACACTCTCGTCGAGGGCCAGGATCTTCTTCTCGACGTTGCGCAGCCAGGTGTCCCAGTTCTTCAACACGGCGGGGCCCTCGTCCTTCTCCCGGTCCAAGACGTCGATTCCCACGTGCAGCTCGCGCATGCGCTTGGCGATCTGCTTGGAGGTCTCGGGCTCGCGCAAGTCGCTGGGGGTGAGGGTGATGGAGTTGAAGTATTCCTCGAAGCGGCCGTTGGTGAAGCACCCGAGGAGCCTGGGGCCGATCTTCTTGCGCGCTAGTCTCCGGAGCACGGTGAGCTCGTTCTCGCGGTCGATGAGGTGCTCGAGGCCGTAGATGCGCAGAAGGAGCTTCGGCGGGGGTTTCTTGCCCGTCACCTTCTCGTCGAGGTCTTCGGGGGGGGACAAGACGTAAACGGCGTTGGTCAGGGCTCCGCTGAGGCGCTGCACAATGACGCTGTTGCCGCTGTCCAAAGGGACCCTTCTCCACCCCTTGATCTTGAGTGTGTGGGTCAGGCGCACGATCTCGTTCTTGAACGTGGCCCAGGCCTTTTCCTTGTCGTCTGCCTTGTGGCCGAGGGTCAAGTCATCGGTGCTCTTGCCGCCGCCGCTGTAGCTGAGAGTCTTTGAGTTGTCGAGGACAGCATCGCACGTGGGCACGACGACGTCGTCGCCAACGTAGTCTGTGTCAGAGCTCGCCGTTCTGTGAAGCAAGCTGCGCGACTGCGATTTCCTGAGACGGGCAGAAGGGCGCCTGCCAACCTTGGGGGCCATCTGAGGAACCGAGTTGATGCCCATGGAGGCCATGCTTTCCTCGATGATTCTCTGCAGCCTGTCGAACGAAACGTCGCTCGAGTCGGAATCGATCGAGTCGGAGCGAGAACGAGGCATCGCCGGCTCCGCTGCCGCTGCAGTGGCCGCGGGTTCGGGGACCGGTGACAGCTCCTTCTTAGGCTTGGATTGGGGCGATCGGCGACGAGATGAAGTCTTGGTCTTGCGAGAGGCCTTCTTTTTGCGCTCGTGCTCCAACCAGTCATGGAGCTGAGCGAGCAGCTTCTGGCTCTCGTAGTAGTGCTTCTGGCCATGGCGATGATGGTGGTGCTGCTGGGCGATGGCGGGGGCAGGACCTCCTGCAGGTGAAGAATCGTCGGCGGAGGATGGAGGTTGCGATGGCTCCAGGACCGGGGAGGATCGAGATGACGAGGAGGTGGTGAGACCCATACGGCCGGTCAGTCTCTTGGCCATGTTGGCGGCGTAATGCCTCTTGTGATGAGCCTGATGCTCAGCAGATGGTGGGTTCGGCGGCGGCGGGGCGATGTCAGCCTCTGGCTCGGCGATTTGGACGACTGCAACAGGGTTAGCAAAGGCATGAAGTTTCCCAGGTTTTGTAAGCCCAGCGACGATACCGGTCCATCAAGGGGCGCCCGTGACATGTTGGGTTGCAAGATTGCGCGAGGCGTCACTGAGCGACCCAGGGCAAGAAGCATACGTGGGCGAGTGGCCACGGCGGCTCGACTGCTGGCATGCGATGGCTTCTTCCAGTTTCCGAAAAATAAGGGCTTCACACCACACCGCTTGATGGGTGAGCGGGGCCTGCAGACTTCAGGTTACGATGGCGGAGCTCAAGGCGAGGACTGACCTTTCCCAGGGGCGGTGGCCGAGGATGGCTTGTCGTTATCGTCGTCGACCTTCATGGCTGATCGCAGAGGTTGGCCGTTGAGCTGGGGCGACGAGGACGACATGACAGCGAGGCGTTGGGGGGGGACTCGAACGACGTGCGCGGTATACGAGCGGGGCGAGATGCGCAGTGGTAATATTTTGGTGAAAACAGCAGACAAAACGGCGATGTCTTGAGGAGACCGAGAGTGGTCTTGGGTGAAGAATCAGGCGTGTTCCTCGTTGCGATGAGGTAAGAGAAGTGGCAGGTTGTGGTAGCGTAGCGACACGGAGGGGGGCACGATAGAAAGAAAGTCTTATCGGGCGCAAAGCCAGGACACTGACACTGACTGAGGGGTTATCGTACAGGTATATCGTGGGTACTTTGTACCAGGTACATGGTAGATCCGGACTTCTTGTGAGGGGTGGGGTAGGTGTCCTTGGGGCCAGATAGCAAGGAAGGGAAGACAATTGTTTTGGAGACGAGAGTTTACAGGTGCATCTTGTGGGATGAGAATATATTGTCGGACGAGAAAGGCGACGAATGGCAATTGGTGATGACGATGAGGGGTTGAAGACTACATGTATTCGGACGAGGAAACTTGTTCAGATTGACTGGACAGCGCAGCTCGGACCAAGACTGACTGGTGCTCGTGGGTTTGTTGACCGAGAGCCGTGGGGAACCCCGCCTGGTCATGTGCGTTGCCCCTCGTCCCTACTACATCGTACCTTGGTCTCGGTACGTACATACACGTACATCATACTAGGTATTAGGCATGCAAACACGTGTAGGGCAAGCACCGGGGGTCCCTCCTCCTGCGCCCCTTCCTTCTGAGTGAATAGTGTAGTCCCCTAAGCGTCGTCGGCTCCTTCTCTCACGAAGAACAACCGCAGAACATTTCCACCTCCTTCCAGAGAAGCTGCACATGCACATGCAGATGCAACTCGACATATCATGTACTTGTAAGTACAGACGTACAAGTACTTACTGTACGTACCCAAACCACATGTACAAGTACCTAGGTGACATCTTCCAGCGCCGCTCAAGGCGACGGTTAAAAGTCGTCCACACTGGCAGCCGGCCCCAGCACGCATCACACCTCACACCATAGGTTTAGGCAGTACCTAACTTTACGGAGTATCCGTACTATGTACAGGTATATTCGTACCGAGAAAAGACCCCCAAATGTGACGTCAAGGGCTCCCTGTCCGTCCAGTCGGGAGCTGCCGACCCTGGTTTGCCCTTATTGACATGTCTTGGGCCGCGCGACTTGCATGTGACGTACATGCATGTTTATTAGTCTCACAATGTCGAATCGCTACATCCATATCACTAGGTATCTATCTATTTATCTATCTATTTATCCATCTATCTAGCCTACCTACCTACCAAGGCACCATGTCAGACGGGCGTTTATTTTCAGCTTCGTCAACTGTGGCAAAGCAGCGCCTCATGAACAAACTCAGCCACTCCTTCATTGTGATGCCCCTCCCCCACAAAGTCGCAGCACGCCAGTTGGAACTCCACGCTCGATGCATCTCTTTTGGGAATTGTACATGTACACTGAATGCAACGCGGCCGCCCTAAATCCTCGTCGGCCGTCCCTCCCTCTCCAGCGCCCACTCGACCGCCGCCTTGACGTCGTCCACAATCATCTTGGGCGCGTGTGTCGGCGGCCCTCTCTCCTTCCTCCAGACCCCCGTCTTGACCAGCACCGACGCCCACTCCGTCTTCTCGTTGCTGTAGTCGTTGGCCCCGCGGATGTCGCTCTCTGGGTTGTCTCCTACCATGTACACCGTCTTCAGCGGTGCCACCTCCCCTTTGCCGTCACCTCCCGCCTTGCCCAGCAACGCCCGCCGGTGTGCCTCGAGCACCCCCTCGGCGTACCGGTACGTCGTCGCGAAGGGCTTGCCAAACACCGTCGTCTGCAGCGCCGCCCCGCCCGTCACCGACCTCCACACCCCCGCCACCGCCGCCTGGAACGCCCCTTGCCCGAACCGCGGCTGGTGCCACGTCGTCGGCCAGAGGAGATCCGCATTGGAGTACACGAGCGCCGGCTGCCCGTCCTGCTGCCACCCGCCGTTGGCCAGCGACCTGTCTCCGTTCTTGTCCGAGTACGTCCCCAGCACGCCCCCGCGCGAGAGCAGAAGGTCCATGATGATCTGCATGTCTAGCGCCCAGTCGCGCGGGTCGTTGAACACGAACATGGCGTCGATCTTGAGCGCCTCCGCCTCCGTCGCCGCCCCGCCCCCGACCCCGCCTGTGTAGATGGGCTTGGGGAGGGGCTCGTGCGTCCCGGCGTAGACCGACTTCATCAGCAGCTCAAAGGGGAACACGTCCGGCTGCGCGTGGATCATGTCCGCCGGCGTCACCACGTTCTTGAAGCCGTACCTAACGTCCTGGTAAGCGCATGTGCCTTTGTAGGATAAGATAGAAGGAGAGAAAAGAAAGAGACTCACTGCCTCGCAATCTCGCGACACTTTTGCGCGTTGGCGCCCGTCACGAAGATGGTCTTGTCCCCCAGACCCTCGGGCCCGTGGACCAGCTCCTGGAAGGGCGTGTGCGACTGGACAAAGTTGTCCACCGAGAGCTCCACGCCGAGCTTCTCGCTGAGGTCCCTCACGCGGACCGCCTCGGGCCTGCCCCCGCCGTTCGTCAACAGGATGAAGGGGATGTTGTTGTCGTTGAGGTAGCGGAGGGCCTCGGCGGCGCCGGGAATGGGCTTGGCCACGTGCAACAAGACGCCATCGATGCTGCGCTCCTTTCTTGTCAGTTACCGTGTCTTTTTTTCCGCCTCGCGGCCGAGAACTGTAAAGTGTTGGACGCGTCGCGTTGGCCACCGACTTCTCGCCGCATGCACGCATGCATATATCTCGCTTTTATTTTTATTTTATCAGGGGGTTGCTTGACTCACTCAAAGGCAAACGCAAATGACGGCGCCTCGCCCGCCTCGAAAACACGCTTCTTGGTGCTGAACCACCGTTGAGGTCCGGAGACCCCCAACCACGCCCGCCCCGGGACGTTGGCTGTGCTCGGAGCCGCGAATCTTCCTCCATGGAGCCCGGCGGCGGCGCTCGCGATCCGCGGCGTCGCGTGCGTTCTCGGCGTGGCGAACGGTCTCAAAAGCCGGCCGAGGCCTGTAACTCTTCCTGCCTGCCTCATCCTGACTCTAAAGCTTGAAGTTGGATAGCATGCAATATACCGCCCACATGAATTATCTAATGCTGAACCAGGTGAAATAAGTGGTGTGTCTCTCGCAAAAGACAAAGAGAGAGAGTGTGTATGTGTGTATGGTGTATGAGAGGTGAGGCGGTGATGAATTATTGTTGAGGTGGAATCGCACGGATACACTGGCTGGAACAGCTTGTTCGACTTGACGGCCGACTTGAGGCACTGAGAGCTCCCCCCCGCCATGCCTCTCCCACCCCTGCACGCATGACCAACCCCCCCCCCCATGCCACCAACGCCACTCGCTAATTTTAGCGGCGAAGCTCGTTCCCGGCTGCCGGTGCAGACGCCGGCCGTTTCTTTGCAGCTTTAATGCGACGGCTTGAAACCTGACAGCTGCCCAAGAGGGGAATCGTTGCAATGCAGACGGACTGGTTCTGGTTCCTATTCTGACTTTCTCTTGGTTCTGGCTTGTAAATCCCTCCGCGGCTGCGTGTCGCTGGCGTTGGTCCAGACGAACAGAGCTTCGTCTTCACTCCACCAGCGAACGCGGGATCCAAGAGTACATGTACAAAGTGATATTACAGTGTGATTGAGTGTGGTCACCGAGCCCGATTGCTCAAAAGGTCTATCCCATGAAACAGCCGTGGCGGTATACATATTACACAGGTCGATACAGAAACCTCCTTCCCTCCCTCAACCTTGTTCGTCTTCGTCAAACCCGCGCTTAGTCCTTCTTCCAACCGCCCTGCCAGTCGTTCATGTGGTCCAGGATGATCTTGGCCGCCGCCGTCGGGGAGTGCTGGCGCCCCAGCGCCTCGACGAAGTCGCCCTCCGGGTCCATCAGGTAAAAGTATATGCTGTGGTCGACGAGGTAGTCCTGGCCGGGCTTGACGTGCTGCGGCGTGCTGAAGTAGACGCGGTACAGCTTGCACATGGCCTTGATCTGGTCGTAGGTGCCCGTCAGGCCGATGAACTTGGGGTGGAACTCGGAGAGGTACTCCTTGACCACGGCGGGGTTGTCGCGCTCCGGGTCGCAGGTGATGAAGATGGGGAGGATCGAGCCGGGCCGCTTCTCCTCGACGAGGTCGTACATCCGCGCCATCTTGTCGAGCTCGTCGGGGCAGATGTCGGGGCAGTGCGTGAAGCCAAAGTAGACCTGCGTGAGGGGAAGGGGGGGGGGGGGTTAGGTTATGTTGTTTTTAGTCGCCACGGCCGGGTCGTATACGTCCCGACGAAAGAGATGGGGGCAAAACCAAAACGTACCAGTGCGTAGCGACCCTTCATGTCCTCGCTCGTGAACTTGTTGCCGTTCTGGTCAATCAGCTCGAACGACCCTCCGACCTTGGGCCGCCCGATACCCTTGGTCGCCTCGGCGATGCGCTTGCGCTCCATGCGCTGCTTCTCGTGCTCAAAGTACCACGTCAGGCCGACACCGGTGGCGACGAACAGAACACCGGCCTTCCATGAAAAGGGCTGATTTTTTCAAGTCCAGTCAGCGCATACGCTCCTCGATCCGAGGCTTTGCTTTCCCCAAAGCGACGACGGCTTCCCTTACCCCTGCTCTGTACCTGCTTTTTGCCTCCTCCACGGTCTTGTATGTCTTTGTCCTCCTCTGCGCCGGGGAGGGTTTCGTCTGGAACATGGTCGGCGCGGCAGTCGGCCGGGTCTGCTTAGGAACTGCTGCTTGGGAGATGCATCGTCGGCATTGTGTCGATGTCGTGGAGGAGACGGACTTCCACAGAAGCCTCGAGGCTGCGAGGGACATGGCTGCGGCAATTGAGGCCTTGAGTTGCTTGCAGTATGACAGAGAAAAACCTGAGGACCAGATACGACTGCAGGTCTTAGTTCGTCACTCGACATCCCATCCCATCGTAAGACCCAAAAAAGCTCTCGGTGAGCTTGGGCCACTTTCCACAAAAAGTGGTGTGTCGGAAGAATAGTTGATGCGGCGCAACCAAGTAGTCGCCTCTTCTTCACCTCGGCACACCGAGAGCTTCCTCACCGAAGGGAATTATGGGTCTCGTCGATGCCAGGACTTCACTTAATGTTCAACTTCACAAACCTCACACACCCCTGCACAACTAACAGAAGGTCGCTCTCAACATTTCTTTATCCAAGAATCTCATTGCATCTCACTTTTCTTTGGTTTATAAGGCTTCAAACTCACTTGCAGGGTTGCAGTTGAAAGCCCGCCGTTTGCTGGGGCTATGGATTCCGACGTGGAGCCCAAGGTGAAAGGGGACGAGGGCCGGGCGGATGAAGGCGAGGCGGAGGATCACGAAATGACAGACGCACCTGTCCAAGAGGCGACCGGCTCTCAGTCCCCGCCCCAAGCTGCATCCCAAAGTCAAATAGGCTCAAAATTGATCCCTCCTTCCTCGGATTCAGATCTTCTCCCACCATCAACCCTGACATCAACAAATCCCACCTCGTCAACAAGCAACCCAAGCAACACCATCCTAGAAACGACGGAAAAGCCCCCTGAACCGCAAAAGATGGGACCCAAGAAGAAGGGCACAGCCGCCGTCAAGAAGACTCCCAAGCGACCAAAGGGCGGCGGCCGCGGCGGCCACAGCGCTTCCAAAGGCGGCAGGCCGAAGAAGCAGGCCGGCGGCGGCGCCTCCACCAACCACCAGGAAGAGCTGGGCGGTGGCTCCGATGAGGAATCCGACAACGGACCGTATTGCATCTGTCGCGGCCCCGACGACCACCGCTTCATGATCTCGTGCGACGTCTGCGAGGACTGGTTCCACGGCGAGTGCATCGACATCTCCAAGGACGTCGGCGAGAACCTCATCGAGCGCTTCGTCTGCCCCAACTGCACCGACGTGGAGAGGAACGTCGTCAGCCTGTTCAAGAAGATCTGCTCCTACGCCAAGTGCATCAAGGCGGCCCGCCTCTACGGCGACGGCGAGAAGAGCGCCTTCTGCTCCGACGAGCACAAGCAGCTGTGGTGGGAAAAGGCCATCGCCTCGCTGCCCAAGAAGTCCTCGGCCAACAACACCCGTGACGGGCTCGTGCAAGAGGAGCTCATGGGACTCTTGACCAGCAATCTTGCTGGCGTCGATCCGGACGATGGCCTGTGGAGGGTCCAAACCCGCCCGTTTGCTCCCCCGGCCACTGGACGTATGTGAAGCTCGCGCCCCCCCTCCCCCCCCCCCAAATGTGCTGTGAAGATGGAGAGCTAACCTGCCATTTGAAGCCGAGAGCCCCGAGTCCAAGAACAAGGCTCTGGTGCCCGGGATCCTCACCGAGGAGGAGGTGGACATCCTCCAGACGTCGGCCGCCGAGCGCTACAAAATGGGCGAGGAGGTCGTCCTCTGCCAAAAGATGCTGCAGCTCCTCGACTGGGCCAACGACCGGCGCAAGTCCCTCATCGCGTCCAAGCACTTGGACGACGCCGCGTGCGGCTACGACCACCGCCTCGACCAGGTCGGCGTCGTCGGCCCCTTCGCCAACTGGCTCAACTCGGACGAGGCCAAGGAGGTCTTCAAGGCCGGGAGCCTCGACGTCGGCAGCCGCCTGGCCGGCGACTACAAGAACATCTGCGACAAGAAGCGCTGCAAGGCCCACCAGGGCTGGTTCTCCATCCACACTAGGGACGTGCGGTACCAGATGAAGCTGCTCGCCATGGACGCCAACAAGAAGCTCGACAAGGAGCGCCTCATCAAGCAGTCGGCCGCCGAGCGGAAGATGAGGAAGGAGGCCGAGAACAACTACGTCCAGGCCGTCCTCCGCGATGGCACTCTCGGCCCGCTCAAGTCTGGATGAGGGTCCCCATTCTTTGGCGAGGGGGGGGTGGTCCCAGGTCCATGAAGTTTTTCTTTTTTTTCTTCTCTTTTTCTTGGTGTGTTTATCATGGCGACAGTGGTATCGGCGTTGCGAGGGAGGTTTGGGAATGGTGAACCGGCCCGACTCTGGCTTCAAGTCGCCGGCTGCGAAGCATGGGGCGGCTCTGCATTACGGAGCTCGCTATCAGATACATAACTAGTGCTGGACGGCGAAAGAGTCGTTCCGTACCTTGGCTCTAAGACCGCATGATGCGCGGTATTACTTCCAGAAGGATCATCACATGCATCTTCACCATCTCTCATTGCCCGTGACGCTTAGCCTGGAGCGTAACGCCCTCTCTACCAGCCAAGCCAAGCAAAGCAAAGCAAAGCAAAGCGGCGGATGAACTATGCACGGCACATGGGGATTCTTTCTTGCTAGCCTTTTCATGTCGAACATGGCCGTTCCATAACCCCCAAGCGGTCTAGCCCAGTTCACCCGGTACACGAATATCGCGATACGTATAACCCGATACGCAACGTCTCTAGCTTACCACGTTTCAGTCTCTCAACACGGTACAAAATACCCGACAACCCTCTATTTTCAGCCTTTAAACTTCAATGAGCAGCTATGTTGAACCCGGCTGACGGCGCTGTATTTCCTTTCGCTCTTTGCGAAACCTCCAGAACTTCCAAAACCCTCTGCAAGTGTGCCCAAGCTGGTAGAGCTGGTTCAAAGCACACATGGCGATGACCATTTCGTTGAAATACACACACAGAAAGTAGAAGAACACGCCGGTTGCCGCAAGCGCCGCAAAGAACGCCAGCTTGATGATCCACCTCGGCGTGTCCTGGTACACGATGGCCGCCAGGCCGAATCTGGTGTCAAAGCTCCCATCGCTTTCCGCCTCTCCGAGATGCTGTTCAAAAGAAAGGACTTGTCAGCTCACAGTCCCTCCATATGGCTGGCACGTCAGAATTGGGAAGCAAACTCACTCCCGCCTCCATCACAAGGGTGTTCACTCTGTTCGGCAGCTCGACACCGCTCGCCTCCGACTCCTCGGGTATGCTCGTCGTCTGGCGATAGGCGTGCGTAGATTGCTCCCGCACGGTGTCTCCTGTTTGCCGCCTTGAAAGGCCGCCAGTCATGGTTGCTTCAATGCCCGCCTGCCGGCGGTCCTCGGAGACGGTGACCCGTCTCCTTGGGGGAACCACCCACTCGTCCGTGCCCTGTCGAGAGTTTCTCTCCGGGAGAAGGAACGTGAGCTGGCCTCTTTCTGTTCTTCTACGAGGTGGCGAGTCGTTTCTGGCCTCGCTCTGCCCATCTGTTTCTGTCGGAGAGCCTTGATGAAGAAGCGTCAGCAGACTCGTTCAGCAAGCAGAAAGGAGAGGACGCCGCCACCGTAACCTACCACTGGCCTCCATGATGTTCAACAGCAACACAATCAACATGACAAGAGGCAGGATCTGGCCAAACTTGGGCTCTAAAAGATGCGAGTAATCGACCCGCGCGTAGACCAGGACCTCCAATAGAAAATATATCCCCGTGACCGTGAAGCTAAAGTTCACACAGAGGGCAAAGATCAGTGACCGCCAGAAATCCCCGAATATGGCCTGGGCTACGATACGCGCCGTTACCCGCCAGGGAGGCTTCGGCGACCTCTTTCGGAGCTGGCGACACCTCCGGCTGTACATTGCGCGCATCTCTTGTCTCTCATATTCATTCCACGCCTCCAGGCTCCTCCTCGACGCCTCGTCTCGGTAAACAGCACTCAGCGCACAGTTCACCAGAGAGTAGACGCGTGGGAACTGGGAGCGCGCGTTACGGAGCTGGGACATGGAGTTACGGAAGCTGGAGGCGACCCACCAGCAGAGGGCGAGCCACGCGACAAAGAGGTACGGCCAGTCAGTCTTGTAGTGGCGTATGGCGCAGGAAACGGTCCTTCGCACGCTGTTGCTGTCGGTAAGATAGGTGAGGAAGCTGGTTGTGAGGATGAAGACGAGAAGGAACGCCATGAGCCAGATGCGCACCTTCGCCTGCCGCCTGTGCTCCTCGAAGTGGGACCCCAGGGCCAGGAGGCAGTCCATGTGTACGCCGGATGCGAGATAGGCGAGCGCCTCGCCGACCCTGAAGCAGAGCAGGGACATGCTGCACGTCTGCACGTAGAGGGCGATGAGGATGCCGAAGCTCGTCACCAGCAGCTGGTCGCTCAGCCCGAGGATGAGCTGCAGGTACTTTGTGCTGCGAATGGAGGCCAGAACCGACCGTTGCCGCTCCAGCCTCCCAAGGATCATATTATCGATCTCCATGTACAAACAGGCGTGGAAGGTGGTGCGAGCGATGTACGCCAGGCAGATGGCGATCGTGGATAGCAGCACCGGAACCACGAAAGCGAGAAGAACCTTGTTCGTGTGTCAGTGTAAGGTTGAACGTGCTGTTGAGGGTGTGAAATGCTGACCCCGATTCCCATGATATCTGGATCAGTAGGATCTTCATTGAACTCGTTGCAGTCTGCGTTGGAACTACACGCAGCCCCCATTTTGCCGCGTTGAGATTGTACCGTGGCAGAATGAGACGCTGCCATCGGGCCCATGAGCTAGGGGAGGCAGAATAATATACGACAGCATCGAAGCACTAGACCCAAGGCTGCAGCAGAAAGCCGTGTGTGATAGCGCCTTCAATGTGCAAGCATGCACGTAGCAGCAGGCTGTGGCCGTAAGCGGCATGGCCAGCAGCAGCTTATCATGAGCCTATCATCCTGCAGGCTGCAGACCCGGGCAGGCAACCCGAGTCTAGTCTTCTCCGATACGAAACATTAACGATGGTGTTCCGCAGCAGCTGAGTACTACACAGCAGGCTGACTTAACATAGGCGAGCTGAAGGAGGCGTAACGCCGAGATGGCCACCTCTCATGCTGCGCCTCGAGCCTGGTGCGCGGCCGAGTCCTTTTCCGACGACGCGGATGATGGCCGAAACAAATAGGTTGCTAGGTTTTGACTAATATGGTTGGCGGGCACAGAATGAAGGCTGCTGTTGGAGCAGAAGAGTCGGGACCAAAAGGTAGGTCTGAGTTTGAAGTGCTGATGATGTAGAAAATCCCTTTTGGCACTGCGCAATTCGTTCTGATTTTATGCACCCATTGGGTGCCGCTCCTTCCCACAGGCATGTCAAGATTACATGCAATCAATGGCTTCCCGCACCGGGGGCGTGCGATATTGATGTCGGGACACCGGTACCAGTATGCCTCTCTGCCACCTCGTTTGCATCGTCTCTTCTTTTCCAAACCCCCCCATCCCTCATCCCTCGAAGTAAGGAAGAAAGACGGGGCAGAAGGAGGAAAGAAGGCCCCCAGTCGTCTTGGACGACGTCTGATTAAGAAGACGGAACGAAAGGAGGGGACGGCAGCAACCGCGGTTGTCGGCCACGCCCGCTCGGCGAACCAGGAGGGCAAACAAAGGCAATGCAGCCTGCGGCCCACTGAGATGCCGGCTAGTCAAGCATGCAGACCGACAAACACTCATCGACTCTGCAACCCCCCGAGCACCCCGGCGGACGCCTTCTCTCGAGGGTGGGCAAAAAAAAGCCGTGGCCATGTCATGCTTGGAGAGGTTGCCCCCCCTGCGTGATCACTCTCTCTCTCTCTCTCTCTCTCACTCACTCTCTCTCTCTCGCTCTCTCGCTCTCTCGCTCCCTCCTCGACAGCTTCACGTGTCTGTTGTCCTACAGAGCTTGCGAGATCGGGGAGGAGACGAGGAGAGGACTGTGCAGGAAAAGAGAGGCTCTTGTCTCACCCGAAGAACTTGCGATAACATCCCCCCTTCCAACCCCCGAGGGCCTCAGGAATGTCACTCATATCCGGCCGGGTGCCGTTCACAGAACCCTCTTCCCCCTCACACCTCTGCAGCCCGTCTCGAAAAACAAAAACAAAAACCACATCGCCCAGTCAGCCGCATTCCAAATGATGGAGCAGAATTTTTAGCAGTATTTCTTTTTTGTATGCATGTGTATGTACCGCGTTCATACAATGGAATGATCTCCTACAAGAAAAAACTTTTCATAGAGTATCTCCTTCTACAAATACAAGGCTCCCGCCAGTCCTTCTCCCAACAAGGCCCATCAATAACATTATTCCCTGTGCCAAAAGAAAAAGAAAAAGAGAAAAAAAAAAAACGCTTCAACATCCTTGCCCTCTTGGCTGCCCCTCTCTCCCATTGCCTTTTCTGTCCTTCCCCTCCCCCAAACACAATGCTTTGCGATGCTCAACCCTTCATGCCATGCCCGACCGCCAACCGCCGTGCCCGCTTGCCGAACCATCTCTCAAAAGCCCATTTCTTTTTTCATCGTGCAAAAGTCGCCAAAAGTGTGATGCCAAACAAGGACGAAAATTAGCCGTCAAGTCACGCTTGAGAAAGTCCAACAATGCCAGTCTAGAGAGGGGACAGTTCCGAAACCTGCCCTTTAACCTGCAGACTTCTCTCCCTGTGCCAAAACGCGGGGGAGGAGGGTGAAGGAAGCTGCAAAATAAGTGCCTCGTTATGTATGTATGTACGTCTGCCCATGATGCTTGCTCCCATAAACGTGTGGACCGTCATGGGCGCCAGTTGTGTCGTATGTTCGTGCAGGAAGAAGTCGTAAATACTCGTTCAGTGACACTCTCATGGAGTGAAGTGGTTGTAATATGCGTTGCCAGCCCGGGGAGGGAGGAGGGTAATTAGTCTCCGTAGACATAAGCCAGAACAAGGTTCAGGACAACAGAAGTAGTATAGGTTCTTCGTGGCTGAGCCCCCTGTGTTTTGCACTGCCATTTCCAGCAGCAAGATGTGTGCGTGCAGACATGACAAGAATCAACAGCCGCACAGGCTTAGTGATGTCGGCCCGGAGAGTACTAGTGGCGAGCGCCGACTTGACTGTTGCTGGCGCGGCTACGCTCATCCTCTTCCATGACGTCGCTCAGGCGTGTGGGATGGTGGTGCCGGGGGACAGTCTCCCAGCCTGGTGCGGCATATCCTGAACCCGAGTAATCCTGAGCGCCGTACGACTGCTGCTGTTGCTCTCCAGCCGTGGTGGGATTCTGCGCGTAGCCGGCGCTGGGAGGATTGGTCGCGGGAGTCTCATACTCTTCTGTGCCTTCGTCAGAAACTGGGGAAGGCGGAGCAATGAAGGGCACCTTGTTTCCTTGGGAATCGCGAATGAATTGGCCCTGTGCGTCAATGGCGTACTCACCTTCAGAGTATCCGCCCTCGGAACCAGTACCGGTGTAAGTGACACCCTCCGATTCTGCGGCGGTGGACTGCCCGCCGGGGGTTTGCGAGTACTCCCCGGTGTAGCCGCTTTGCTGACCGCTATACTCGGGCTGGTATCCGCGCTGCTCACGAGAGCTGCCGTGACGGCTAGGGACGCCTTGGGTCATGGGAACAACTTGGACGCCGCCGACGATGGTGGGCTGGCCGCTCTGCAGAGACAGGGTCCGCTCGCGCTCCTCATGCTCACGTCGGCCGAGCTCCTCCCAGGCACGACGGGCCTCTTCCTTGGAGATCTGGAGCTCCTTCTTCATCTCTTTCACGCGCTCATCGTTGGCCGAGTGTTGACGCTCCTTCTGGATGGCGGCCTGGACAGCGTTCTCTCTAGCACGTCTCTCCTCTTCAAGGGCCGCCTCCAACATGGCGTTGACCTCCTGGGCGCGCTCCAGCTCGGCTCTGGTCTCGAAGAACCATCTTTGGAACTTTCGCTCCGAGCTGGCACGGAGTCGCTGCAGCTCAACGACTGCATGAAAAAGGTTGGCGCCGGCCGCAGTAAGATCGGTGACTTGACGAGAGAGAGCCTGGTTGATGGGGTCGCGTTCGATGTCCTGATTGTTCTGCTCGAGCCGTCGAATCCAAAAGCTGGTAAGACCCTCCCAGTGAGCCGACAGGGTCTCCCAACGCTCGAACGCATGGGGAAAGGAGTTCCTAGGTCTCGATGCAACATCCTGCCCAGCCTGAACTGAGGTGTTGGGGGGTTGTTGAGCGGTGCCGGCCTGAGGGGCGGTGCTGTAGGGCTGCTGGCCGGATTGCGAAACGGATGCCGTTCGACCATGTCGGGGGTGGGCTTGGGATGTGGTAGGCTGGCGGGAGCTTCCTCCCGGGTTGGTTCGGGCCTGCGGGGTATCGGTGGCCACGGGTCGGCGTTGGGAGGCGGGGTCCTGCTGGGGCACGTTGGCAGTGCCACCAGTTGATGCTCCTCCGGCAGCGCCAGTAGCGGCGGCGGCGGCGGCGGCTCGGCGCTCCGCATTCCGTCTCTGAGTGTCCTCCAATAGACGAGCTTCTTGCTCGGCTCGCTGTCTCTCCAACTGCATCTGCTCTTGCTCAGCTCTCTGTCGGGCTGCCTCTCTAGCAGCGCGCTCCTGCATGATCATTCTAGGACCACGAATACCGGAAGGTGAGCTGGTAGGGTTGGGCGTGCCGGTCGGACGGTGGCGGGCCGAGTTGGACGCGTTGCCGTTGGAAGCGGTGCCACCGCTTCCAATGAGGTCGGCCATGGTCGCGCTTTCTTCGACTTCGTCGGGAGTGAACGGATGAGGTTGTCTGAGCGCTTCCTCGAGGGCAAAGAGGATAGCGGCGCGGGTATTTCTGGAGACGCGGTGAGGGCGATGAGACTCGCGTCGGGAATGAGCAGACGGTGATGTCGGGTCTCGGTATTGCGGAGCTTCGTCGGAGGACTCTAGATCAAAGTCGTCCTCGCTGAGATCTTGCGAGAGAACTCTTCTTGTACGTGAGTGTCGTCGGTCTTGGGGCGCGGAAATCCGGGGGTAATCGAAAGTAAACGTCGGTGCAGGCGCAAGTGCAGGTGCGGGCGCGGGCGCAGGTGCAGTCGTGAGCTGCGGTTTGGGACTGAAACCAACCGAGACGGCCTCGATATGGACCTGACGTGCGGGCTGCGGCGTAGGACTCGGGGTGGCTTCAAAGCGCGACGTACGTCGAAGGGTGCGTTGGGAGAGTTGGGACGAGGCGGGAGTGGACGGTCTCTCAGCTGGATCTGGGGTAATGTTTCGCGGGTGCCTCCGCTGGCGCTGCTGGCGCTGCGCAGAAGGGATCGTGATTTCGTGAATTTCGTGACGGTCGTTAGAAGGCGTGGGGGGGGTTTGGTCTGTCAACTTGGCAATATTGCCCAGGTCACCGGTCTGACCTGCTTGAGTAGACAAGGTGGAGCTCGCACCACCGCAGTGGTGAGGTCAGAAAGTAGGTGAGAACTAGAGCAGGCTTCGATGGGGGGAGGAGGACCTGTGAGAAAGCTGATTTTGGAGGGTCAGCAGGCCCCGAAGGATAGGCACAGCGAAGGTGAAGTGTGTGGGTTGTTCGTAGGTGACGTGGGAAAATAATGGGTGAGGTTGGAGGAGGGAACAGGGTGCGACTTACTTTGGCAGGGTGGTAGTATCTTGATGACGGGGTCCCGATACCACACCCAAAAAGGAAGACGGGAATTAAAAGCGGTCTGCGGGAACAGGCAAGATGCAGCTCGGCAGAGATGGAGTGGAATCCAAATCAGAAAAATTGGGGATCCTTAGGAATGGAGAAGACGTGGGAAAAGTGAAGCTGCTAGCCGGGTCGAAGTGAAGAAATTCGAGAGGTTGGAACGTGGTTTGAAAAAGAGGGTGGCTAGGCGAATATGCGCGCTTTGGGAGTGCGTGGGCGGAATTGAACGGTAAAAGATTGGACAAGGTGCGATTGGAGAAGATAAGCGTAATTTCTGGCTTCCTTTTCTGGTTTTCTTTTTTTGTAACAAAGCTGTTAGTTGGTTTGATTTGAGAAATTGAGTGATTGAACTGGGTATATGTCGATTGCAACCCACCACTGCATGCGCAGTACAGTACACTTTGAAGGATTGCGACAATGGTGTTGGCAGTTGACGACGATGTGGCTTTTTTGTGTCGAAGTGAGAGGAAGAAGGATGAGGGGGGTGGATTGGGTGTGAGTATGAGAGTGAGATGAGAGTGAGAGTGAGAACAACGCATGCAAGTTGGCTGAGGGAGCCTTTGCTGATTGCGCGTGGGAGAGGGGGGCGGGGGGGAAAGAAAAACAACGCAGGGTGTGAATTCTTTTTTCCTATGCAGCAAGAGCAAAGTACATATGACTTTTGGGTGAGGAAGGTGAGGAAGATGGCAAGTGAAAGGAAGGAGCGGTCAATTAGGTGGGCAATGGCCGGTTTGCAGTGCTCTTTCCTAGTTGCACCCTTAGGAAACCCCTTCTCAACTCCAAATTGAAGCGAGGGTGGAGGGCATCACGTAGGACGCGGCAAAGAAAAGAGCAGGTAGGCCCAAGAGACTTACTTGACTTGAGTGTAGCAGAAGCGGCGGCCGGTTGGGTTGCAACGGCCAGGAGGTGTGCAACACCCACTCGGTCGCCTCGGTCAGAGTCAGTGGACAGACAGACAGGCTTGAATGACCCGGCCAGAGAGACAGACGGGCAGAGCCAGCCTTCGAAAAAAGGTGTCCTTCCAGTCAGTGTCTCAATCCAGATGCTGGACACCGACAACACCCCCAATTGTCTCGGGTTGCGCCGGTGGTGTGGTTGTTGTTGGTGCTCGTCCAATTCCACCACCTCCAAGCTCAGCTCAGCTCGGTCAATACCAATGTCAACGTCAATGCTGTGCTGTGCCGTGGTCAACCGGGCTGGTTTCGTTGCCTGCTGTGCTGCTTGTCGTCTTTCGCTACTACTATCAGTAACTGAAGCCAACACGGACCTGTGGCAGCTCACCCAGCAACTCCTCCTCCATCCGACCTCGGTCAGGATGCGGACGTCGAGGACATTGATGGACGGGCGGGATTGTATGAGGTCGGTCGGTCGCCGGTCGAGCTGTTGGGTGTCGAATGCTATGCCGGGTTCGAAAAGGGCGGGATGATGGTTATGATGATGCAAGACTAGACGTGCGAAAGCATGACACAACCAAGACGGGGCATACACGCAGGCAAGGCACACAGGCACACGACGCGGCATGGGACGGACGGGCAACGGGTTTTAATTGTTTCGGCAGGGCACCGGCACCGTACCCAGCCCATCATCTCGCGTCGATTCAATCACCCGCGGCGGAGTTCTCACTTCTCGCCTGGCGGGCAGGCAGGGCAGGGCAGGGGGGACGGAAACATCCAACACAACTAGGCTTCCCGTTCAATACTGGAGCAACAGACGGACAGAGGGCGACCAAATTACCTGCCGTCGCGGGTGGGCGACATGGGTCAATTCCTGCCCGTTTCCAGTTCGGCATGGCAGAACGGATGGATACCTTGGCTCTCGACGCAACAAAGGCCGCCCCGTTTATCCATGATGTGCAGGGAATCGCAAGCTCGTTGCAGGTGGCTCCCCGTCTTGAGGTATTCTAGCCCGAAGCCATCGAGACCAGAGTTGGCCGGGGCACACTGAGATGCGCACAATGTGGATCGGCGAGCTGTCGCCTGCTGCAGTCAGCTTGGAACATAGCTGCAGTAATCAGGATCGGGTGCCTTAGCAGCGCGTTTTTAAGTGCGTTCCCAAGTATGACCCCCCTCGACTACCATGGATGGTCGCCGCCATTACATGCATGGAATACGTGTGGTTAAGGGTCGAGCCACCGATGGAGGTCGCGTGTGGACCTGTATCGGGGTCCACCCCATGTGCCCTCACTTGACAAAACTTGGGAGAAAGCGTCTACGAAAAGGAAAGAGACTCTGCTGCAATGAGCTGGCATATCGGATCTTGGGTGTCAATTGAGACGGTTGATGCGAGCCAGCCCCCAAGAAGAGACTTCGGAGCATGCTCCATAGGTGAGGACAAGAGATTGGAAGCTGCTCGCCTCACCTGGCCGACTGACCAGTGGCCTGCTGCGGCGCTGCGACGCTGCATCGCCGCTGACGACTTCAGCCAGTGGGAGAAATGAGGGGGGGAGGGGAGGGGCTGGGACATGGGAGGTGGGCGTGGTAGGTTCGACCGGCGAGGAAGTAGTACGAAGCTGGCCCAACCAGCCCCAGCGGAGGACGGCAAGGTGTTGGGCGCGAAGCAAATTTCTACCTACGGCTTGACTAGGTACGGCAATCTAGGAAAGTATGTGAGCAGGCGGTGAGAGCAGAGAATCGCGCGTGTGTGCGTTGTGTGTGTAAGCAAGAAAAGTCTAATATGTGTTGGAAGTGAGATTCGGAGTGAGAAATGAGGTGTGGATGAGTGTGAGTTGTCACTGCGCAGTGACGACACGATACGGATACCATTTGCACCCTCCTTTCTTCAGCAGTCCCGATGGACTGGGAGGCCCCCGTCTGGATTGGAGGCAAACTCGGCATCCAGCCACACGGACGCTCCGTAGAGACAGGCCATTACGAGATGATTGCGCGGTATCCGTAGCAGGCGTGGGCCTGCAACGTCGAGATGAAGATTTCAGTCCCGAGACACCTCATCAAAAATCCGGGCGAGGTTGGTAGGTTATCCGGTAGGTACTGCGGTGACGCGCCCGCCCAAATCACCGAGTCAAAGCGGCAGTTTTCCCTGTAATGTCTTGTGATGACGAGACATGCACGCACAAGAGGCGTTCGTCCGTCTCTCAATTGTGCTGCCTCCCACCCGGAATCTGACAAGCAGTGCATTGAATGATGGATGCATTGGCAGCAACCGATACAAAAGGAAGAAGGGACGAAGAACAACTCTTTTGGAAGGAAGGACAGGACGTCCAAGATTCGGTCATGGGTTTGGTTTCATGGGGGCTTTGGCCTCAGCTATGATTATCAAGGCGGAAGAGAAGTGCATGCATGGAAGGAGCCCTCGACCTCAACTTGCCCAGCATCTTGCACGGACCATGTACAGCTCTGGCCGCCCCCCATCCCAATCTCTGCCAGGAAAAGGGAAGGGGAAGCAACCAGCGATAAGGTCCGTGCACAGGCATGTGTACCTTACTACCTAATTGTACATAAATACGTACTACGGTATCCGTACCTACCTACCTACCTAGGTGCCTCCTGCCTGGGTACCTTCCTAAAGTGAGAGAGCTCGGGTCCCCAACTGGGAAACAACGTGGCCCCTGTCGCTTGATCTTTCTTTCCTGAACCAATCACATGATCCAATGGACCACACCTGCCATTAAGCTCGTAACTGCCTCGTGTGCCTGGAACTGCTCTTTCGATCAGACAAAACGATCCCGCCGCCCTGGACCTGTTCTTTGACTGATCGCTCGCAGCATGGTTGGAAATAGGACACAAAATTCGGGCCCCCAACACGGACCGCATGGTTTCAAAGATTGGCCGTATGCCACCCCGTCGTATCCAACTGCCTTGACTTAACATCTATCTAATCTTTTATCCACCGTCAGGGGTAAATCCCATCTCGGCGTCAGTCTCTCATTCTGCTGCCCAACACAAGCAGGCTGACTCCCCGTTCTGCACGTCGTGTCGAAACCCCCCAAAGTCAAGGACGCCTTTGGAGCTCCTTCGAAATCCTAGGGCAGCTCATATCGGCCGTTGAAACACTAAGAGAAATCCTCGCGTTTTCTTCACATCGCAATTCCTGACTCCCGACGTCCCCC